AGGGACTTTATTACTTAATGACTTTCCATCTAGGTTATGGGTGTGTTTGAGTTTTCTATTTCTCCTTGGTTCAATTTAGTTAGGTTATTTGTGTCCAGGAAACTATCCATTTCTTCTGGGTTTCCCAGTTTGTTGACATATAGCTCTCTGTAGTAATTTTTGATGATTCTTTTTATTTCTTGGGTGTCGTTACATTTCCTTTTTCATCTCTAATTATATTGATTTGGGTCTTCTCCTTTTTTTGGTTAGTTGGATCGATAGTGTATCAATTTTGCTTATGTTTTCAAAAAAACCCATCTCTTCGTTTTGCTGATTATTGCATTTTTGTTTCAATTTTGTTGATTTCTGCTCTAATTTTAATTATTTCTTTTCTTCTTCTAGTTTTGGGTTTAGTTTGCTGTTGTTTTACTAGATCGCTGAGATGCATTGATAGCTCATTTATCTGCTGCCTTTCCCATTTCTGGATGTATGAACCAGTTGCTATAAACTTTCCTCTTAATGCTACATTTGCTGTGTCCCACAGATTTTGAAATGTTGTAATTATCATCTTCATTTGTTTCCATAAATTTTTTGATTTCTCGTTCGATTTCTTCAATGATCCACTGTTCACTCAGGAGCATGTTGTTCAGTCTCCATTTCTTTATCTATTCTAGAGATTCCTGAGTTGCTGATTTCCAGCTTCTTTCCATTGTGGTCAGAGAAAGTGCATGCTATGACTTCAATTTTTTTGAATTTGCTGAGAATAGCTATGTGGCCCAACTTGTGGTCAATCCTAGAGTAGGTTCCATGTACTGGTGAGAAGAATGTGTATTCTGCAGCTGTAGGATTGAGAGTTCAGTAGATATCTGGTAGGTCCATTTGGTCTATAGTGTTGATTAACTCCATTGTTTCCTTGTTGATTATCTGTCTGGTGGATCTGTCAGTTGCTGAAAGTGGAGTATTGAAGTCCCCCAATATTAGTGTGTTGGAGTCTCTGTCTCCTTTTGAATCCCTGAGCATTTCATTTTAAACGGTCAGGTGCCCTGTAATTAGGTGCATCTATGTTTATAGTAGGTACAACTTCCTGGTGAATTGATCCCTTAATCGTTACATAATGCCCTTCTTTATCCCTTAACAATTTTTGTGTTAATTTCTATTGTGCCTGATATTAGGATGCCTACACAAGCTCTTTTTTTGGTTTCTGTTACCATGGAATATCTTTCTCCATCCTTTCACTTTTGGTCTGCTTGCATCTTTGTTGGTGAGATGTGTTTCTTGTAGGCAGCAAATAATGTTTTTTTTTTTTTTTCATTCAGCCAGTTTGTGTCTTTTAACTGGAAAATTGAGGCCATTTACATTCAAGATGACTACTGGAAAGTAATGTCTTTGCCCTGCCATTTTTAAATAAATATTCCTATTTTCCGCCTTCTTCTTCTTTCATAATTATGACCATGGTTCTGTGTTTCTGACTGTAGAACATCCTTAACCATCTTTTGTAGGGCTGGATGGGTGGTGAAAAATTATTTCAATTTTCTGTTTATGATGCAACACCTCTATTTCACCTTCATTCATAAATGAGGGCTTTGCAAGCTACAGTATTCTGGGTTGATAGATTTTTTTCTCTTAATACCTGGAATACACCTCGTCATTTTCTCCTAGCCTGTAGGGTTTCTGATGAGAAGTCAACTGTGAGCCTAATTGGAGATCCTCTGAACGTAACCTGTTATTTCTCTCATGCACATTTTAGAATCTTTTCTTTATGTTTTACTGTAGAGAGTTTTACTACAATGTGTCATGGTGAAGATCTTTTCTGGTCATGTCTATTAGGGATTCTGTATGCTTCCTTACATGGATGTCCCTTTCTTTCTCCAAATTAGGGAAGTTTTCTGTTATTATTTCACTAAAAAAGGACCTCAATCCCTTTTCTCTTTCCACCCCTTCAGGAACTCCTAGGATCCATATGTTGGGTCGATTGACAGTAACCTGTAGATTCCCAACAGTGTTTTCTAGTTCTCTAATTTGTTCTATTGAATTCTTCATTTCCAAGATTTCATTTAGATTTCTCTTTAAGATCTCAATTTCATGGGAGAAATTTTCTTTCATTTCACCTACGATTTGATTAGTTCTTGCATTTGCTTCTGATTACTTCTAAGTAATCCAACGTCAATTTTTTTGAATCCTGTTTTTGACATTTCTTCAATCTCCTTATCTTCACAATCTATTATTGAAATGTTGAGTTCTTTTGGTGGTGTCTTGTTGTCTTCCTCATTCTTGTTTCGTGAATTGCTGCATTCCTTATTCAGCATTTGTGATGATATCAGTGGTTTCCTCTTTGTTTTTTTTTTTTTTTTCTGTGTGGCAGCTTTTATATTTGGACTATGCCTCTCTGTATTAGTGGAGTGTCTACTTTTTCAGTGAACACCTAGAGGCGAGTGGTGGGTGTGACCAGGGAGCCTTGTTCACTGCTCCAGTGTAAAGGGAGTGTTCAAGGTGACACCCAGGTTGGGCATGGTAAATCTCTTTTTTTTTAATCAGAGGGGAGGTTTGTTCTGCTCTGTTGGCATAATCTCAGGTTCACCTCCTCTCTACAAAGGAGACCAGTGCCTGGACTCTAGCCCCAGTGGGTATAATATTCACCTGCACTGCCACAAGAACCACACAAAGAATCTGTGCAGTCCTCGGTGTAACTAAGATTCCACAGCAATGATCTTCCCCAGGGAATCAAGGAGTCCTGATCACATGGAGCCTCCCACAGTGATGGCCCAAAGTCCCTGCCACATCCTGAGTCCTCCCACACAGCCTCAGTGTTTCCACAGTCCTGGTACCCAAGCCTCCCACAGTCTCAAGCACCCAAGCCCCTGTCAGTTCTCCCGACCAGACTCAGGCATCTCCACTGAGCTCATTGATGGGCGCTTGGACACAAGCTGGAGCAGCTGTTACATATGTCCAAAATGGCACCTGCTCTCTATCAGCTTGTTACAGGATGCCATTGCAGGGTGATTGACGATTGAGAAACCTGTCCCCCCCTTTTATTTCTCCTCTAGTCTGGCAGGTATACTATCCCCCCAGGACCCCCAGCCGGATGTCCTCCAGGCTCTCCCAGCAGCTTAATCGCGAATGGCTTGGGCTGCTGCAGTCTGGTCTCACCTCACTCCAGAGCTGGTGCTGAGGTTCTTGGCTGCTGAGTTCCTGAGTTGTGCACGTCCATACCCTCTACGTAGGTCCACAGTGTCCCTCTGATTTGTGTGGAGTTTCCACTGGTGGTTTTTCGCTAACTCTTCCCTGAGACTGTACTCTCTTCACTTTTTTTAAACTATCTTCCCCTAGGCTAGAGCAGTAAGCTCCCTCCCTACTCTGTCATCTTGATCCAATCCAGAGGGCAATTTAGAAAGCTCATGGACAATGGAATTAAAAAATAGTGTAGAGTGCTGGGAAATTTTTGGATTCCAAACACAGCTTTTCCAAAATATGCATTTTTATGGAATTTGTGAAGTCCTCTCATACCTGTGTATTGCCAACTAAGTACATGGCTGGAAGAGTGGTGTGAGCCAGAATTCTCACTGCTGAAGGGCACAATAGTAAATAAACACCGGCAATTCACCACAGCCTTCTTGTGGTAATGAATTAGTGCTGAAGATTTCAAGAAAACTGTGGTAATCCTGGAACACTAAAAGAAAACTGGGGATGAATATCGCCCTGACAGTTTTGATAAAGGGTTCATGTTACTGCAGAATTTTAATGATAAGGAAAACTGAGTATGAGACATAAAGAAATTCTCTGAAATTATATTGCTCTTTTTCTGTAAATTTCACGTTATAAAAAATGTCGGGTATTGTGGTGCAGTAGGTTAAGCTGCCCATGGGATGCCTTCATCCCATAGCACAGCCCCTTGTTCAAGCCCTAGCTGATCCATATCCCATCCAGCTTCCTGCTAATGCAGTCCTGCAGCAGCAGATGATGGCTTAAGTGGTTGATTCCCTACTACCCACAAGGGACACCCAGATGGATTTCCAGTCTTCTCAGCTCTGGCTCTAGTGGGTATATCGGGAGTAAACCAGCATAGAGGGAAACTCTCTGTCTCTCTCTGTCTCTCTACACTCTCTCTCTCTCTCTCTCTCTCTCTCTCTCCACACACACACACACACACAAACACACACCCCTCTACCTCTACCTCTACCTCTACCTCTACCTCTACCTCTACCTCTACCTCTACCTCTACCTTCTCACTTCCTATCTCCCTCATGGCCCTCTGTCCCTCTCTTTATCCCTTACAAATACCAAGGAAACAAAGCTTTAAAAAAGATAAACATGCTGTTATCATTATATCCAGCAGACATACTCCCAGATTTTATTTAAGATAATTGAAAATATGGGCTCAAACATGCAAAAGAATGTACAAGATTGTGTATAGTAGATGATTCAAAATTGCCAAACTCTACCTCATTCAGGAGGTGCACAGGTAAGTAAATCATAGAACATCTGAAAAAATGCATATTTAAAGTGCATGCCACCTTCCAAAGCTCTGCATCACACAGGTATGGAGTCCACTTCTTCCAAATGGTCCAAGAAACCTCATCAGCATCTGATATCAGTCTTTCAAAGCACACAAAATGACAGGCAACTCTTCCACTCATTCTCCCATGGAAGCTCTCCTGGATTCTGAGACCAAATGAGATCCACTCCCTGTGAAAAGAACATTTGGGCCAACTTCATCTGTATAGCAGCAAATACCCTCAGTAAATTAATAGCATATTTAACATACCAGCCTGCATCCAAGAAATCAAAGTATTCTTTAACCTCAGAAAAAATTTCTTATTAAATCTCTCCATTTAAGCAAAAACGTGTGGCATGTCTATGCATGCAGAAAAAGCCTCCGAAAGAAATTCAACCTAAATATTTTAGCAAACTAAAATGAAATGGGACCATGCAGGGACAGGCATTTATCACAGCAGTTAGGATGCCTACCCGGTGCCACTTGTCTTATTTCATATTGCTTGGATTTAAAACACAGTTATGGCTCCTAACTCCAACTTCCTGCTAATGCAGACACTGGCAGGCAAAAGCGATGGCTCAAATCACTGAATTCCTGCCACTCATCTGGGAGACTTAAGTTTCCAGACCCTGGGCCCTGACTCTTGCAGGAATTTGGGAAACCAACCAGAAGGTGGGAGCTCTCTGTCTCCTTATCTGTCTCTCAAATATATATGAAGAAAAATTGAATTTTCTTTCCTTAAAATTGAAGCAAACATGGTTGAATATTAGATATCGCATGCATTCTCATTCAAGTCAGGGACAAGTTATTGTTGTACGCACTCACCACAAAGATCCACGCCTGAAATATACCCAGAGTCAGAACTGTGGCAAGTATAAAGAAGAGATGTGAATATTGATAAGACAATAGTGGGGTATGCATTTAGTGCAGTAGTTTAGCTGCTGCATGATGGCAACATCCCATATCTGAGTGCCCGGTTCGAATACTTACCATTTTGCTTCCAATCCAGGTTTCTGCTAATACATACCCTGGTACTCAGTAAATGAAGGCTCAAGTTCCAGCATCTCTTTCACCCACGTGGGAGGCCCAAATTGAATTTCAAGTCCGTAGCTTTGGCCTGGAGCTATTCCATCTGTTGAAAATATTTGGAGAGTGAATCAGCTGATGGAAGATAAATATTGCTCTCTTTGCTTATATTTCTGCATTTCAAATAAAATGAAAACAACTGAAAAATGAAAAAAATTCAATAGTATTATTGGCAAGAAAGCAATACATAGAATATACAAATGACAAGAAGACAACATAATTAAGCTCAAAATAGCAAAATCAAGAGCCTTGCCCAGGAGAAGCACCTGGCTCCTGGCTTCGGATCAGCGCGATGCACCAGCCGCAGCGGCCATTGGAGGGTGAACCAATGGCAAAAGGAAGACCTTTCTCTCTGTCTCTCTCTCTCTCTCACCGTCTACTCTGCCTGTCAAAAAAAAAAAAAAAAAAGAGCCTTGCTACCCAAAAGCAACTTAGAGCTGAAAATAGAAAAGCTACCACTCTGAACTGCAATAAAATCCAAATTTAAATTAACAAGCAGCCTAACAAAAAATATCCAAGTTCACTACGGAGGCACGTGTATGAGTTTCCTGATAGATTCATGGAAAAAGCAAAAAGAAATGGAGGATAACACCATATTCTTAGTTGAGGAAGAGAACATTACAAAGATGCCAGTTGTCTCAAAATTCCTCATAGATTTAACACCTCACCTGTAGTGGCCAAAGTGAGAGTGAAGTTAAGGCTGTTTCCTCTCCTGTCAAGTCAATACTGGACAACTGCAGAGGAAAAGAAAGGGAAAGAGAAATGGGAAAGAAAGAATATCAGCAGGAAAATCTAAACAAGAAACATGAGAAACCATTGTGGGAGAATGAAGCATGTAGGATTGGAACTGCTCCTGGAATTTGGGGAGTGGGGTTAAGAAGGGAAGGTTGGGAGGGTCTGTGGCCTGCACAGATGACAGATGGCAGGATGGCTAGGAGGGTAGTTTTAAATTTGGCCCCACGGGGCCGGCACCGTGGCTCACTTGGCTAATCCTCCGCCTGCGGCGCCGGCATCCCATACGGGCACCGGGTTCTAGTCCCAGTTGCTCCTCTTCCAGTCCAGCTCTCTGCTGTGGCCCGGGAGGGCAGTGGAGGATGGCCCAAGTGCTCAGGCCCCTGCACCATGTTTAGGTGAAGGATTCTTAAAAATGGCACAGATAATATGGTTCATAAAAGAAATTTATAAATTCAGACTCCCTCAAAATTAAGATGAAATAAACAAAAAGGCTAGACAAGCTGGGAGAAAATATTTGCAAATTATGTATCAATGCATTGACTTGTATTCCAAACATATAAAGAACACTTAAAAACCTCAAAATAGGCCGGTGCTGTGGTTCACTTGGTTAGTCCTCCGCCTGTGGCACCGGCATCCCATATGGGCACCGGGTTCTAGTCCCAGTTGCTCCTCTTCCAGTCCAGCTCTCTGCTGTGGCCTGGGAGGGCAGTGGAGGATGGCCCAAGTGCTCAGGCCCCTGCACCTGCATGGGAGACCAGGAAGAAGCACCTGGCTCCTGGCTTCGGATCGGCTCAGCACCGGCTGTGGCAGCCATTTGGGGGGTGAACCAACGGAAGGAAGACCTTTCTCTCTGTCTCTCTCTCTCTCTGTCTCTCTCACTGTCTATAACTCTACCTGCCAAATAAATAAAAAAATTTGGCCCCACTTCATTGCACAACCTTAGCACCTCATACCACAGGTTCCTGTAGCCCTGGGTTAGTGACAGGGTAGCAGGGCAATTGACTTGGCTGGCAGGATGTGGCTCGAGTCTGTGCCAATTGCTAACCATGATCATTAGTGAGCGCTGGCCTTTCCAAAACATTGTTTTTAATTCTGAACAAAAATCATTTACATTTATGGGCTATACAGTTCTACAATTTCAGCACATGCATACAATGTATGCTAGTTAAAATCTGAAATCAATATTGTCTTTTTAATTTTTTTTCATTTATTTTCATCTATTAAAAATGCAAGACTGAGACACAGAAACAGAGTCTCCCATGTTCTGGTTCACTCCCCAAATATTCACAGCAGCCCAGGCCATGCCAGACTGAAATCTGGAAGCTTTGATCTTGACCTGAATCACTCAACTTGGTGGCAGGGGCCCAAGCACTTGAGCTATCATCTGCTGCTGCCTCCAAAGAGGCATTATCACGAAGATGGAATGGGAGCGGGGTAGCCAGGGCACCCAAAAGGACTCTGATTGGGATGCGGGCATCACAAGTGGTGGTTCCACACACTGCATCAAAAGCCCACCTCAACAGTTCCTCTTCTTTAATGTTACTCGATGATCAGCAGCTTGGAGCGTCATCCTTCTACTGGTTCATACACTATGCACTAGATGATTGTGAACTATAGTCTCCCCCACTATGCTCTGTAACACTAGGAACTTACTTCACCTGTTGAACTCTGATCTGGTATGCAGTGTCTGGAGTTGGTCTTAATCACCATCTGAGACTGCCTCTGTTGAGGAGCACTGGACTGTTAGAAAAAATTATTTTAATAGACTAAAATGAATACACCAGAAACAGGATAATGAGTAGAAGTGTGAATCATGAATAGTACCAGTGGATTTCTTTAATAAATGTGCAAATACTCAGACTAGATGCGTGTATAAAATACATATGCATATAAACGCATACACATTGCAAAGGCATCATATATACATATATTCATGCAACTATGCATTGAGGAATATAAACAAATATAAGTACAATCCCCATATACACTTAACGCATGTAACTTAAGCATATCCTTGGTCGAGAGGTAAAAAGTATTTCTTACTATGAATGAGCAGTAAGATATAAAAATCCCGGCACTGCACCATGAAAAGTTAGATGACATCAAAACAGCACCACTTAACCAAATCAGTTGCTATGGCTCAGTCTCTTCAGCATAAAAGAAATCTGAGAATGCAAGGTTTCCAAAGATTCCCTCTCGCTGCTGAAAGCACCCATGGGAGATGATCGTCCCCAGCAGTGACCATGGTCATTGGTGCTGCAGCAACTCACCAGGCAAACCTGTCTGGGACCACAGCCATTGCCTGCACACATTGATACTGGACAGGAAGCCACAGGTGGTAAAAAGCGGGCATCCTGGGCTAGCCATTTAGTTAAGGTGGCAGATGTAAGACGTGGGTCTGAGTGGATAGAGATCGAGGCGGGCAATACCCCAGAACAGATAAAAACCGACGAGATTCAGGCCACCACCTGTTCTGAGACCGCGGAAAGCCCGTCCAGCCGTGGGAGCCTCCAGAACTCCTCTCCGTGGACGACCTCATCAGGGGATTCAGGCAGTCTGAGTCCTGGTCTCAGGGGACCATATATTGGCAGAAGGTGCAGATTCAGGCTCTGCCAGGCACCAGGGTAAGGACCCTGTGGCAAAGATAAGTGGCCTTTCAAATGCAGGCAAGGTTGTCAGCTGGCCCAGCTATCCCAACTTCCATGTCCGCGGATTCTGGGACTCGGGCCCTTAGTTGGTGGGGCGCAGACACAAGTCTGCAGGCGGCAAGGACTCAGGTTTTGCCAGGCCAGAAGTGGAGGACCCCGAGAGAAGACAGGGTGTGCAGAAGGAATTCTGTTCTTCCCCTTCGTCTGCCCTGGGAAATCCGGGCACAGTGGCCGGATGTGACGCACACTCATTTCCGCTTTCAGAACAAGCGTTTACCTCAGAGTGGTGGACCGCCTCCCTGTCGGGCAAAAGAACGCCCAGGCTGTTAGCAGTTAAGGTGAGACGCTGAGCGGAGGACTGAGGAAACCCCCACCCCACATGGAGGGCCCCAGAGAATCCGGGTCTGGCCCAGCTGTCCTCGCTGAAACACCCCGGACCCACTTCTCCCTTGGTGTCCCCGCCCCCTGTCGCATCCGGGACTCTGGGAGTCAGAGCCTCGGCCGGGCACGGTAGACTGAGGTCGGCAGAGTCAATCCCTGCCTGATTCCGAGGTGAGGAGGCAGGGAGCGGTGGATTTGGGGGACCCGCTTACCCCAATAGAGGGACCCACTGAGTCAATCTGTAGCTGTCCACGCGGGGAAGCCCCACACGGGGAGGCCTAATTGCCCCCCCCCCCCCGCGCGCGCGCGCCCACTTAGCCTCTGGGGCGGAGAGATGTGAGGGCTGTGGTGTGAGAAGCGGCTCTGGGGATGGCCTTGGAGGGCATTGGGTTAAGCCGCTTCCTGCAAAGGCAGCATTGGAGTCCTGGCGGCTCTGCTTCCAGTCCAACTCCTGTGAATGGGCCTGGGAAGGCTGAGGAAGATGGCCCGTGTACCCGGATCCCTGCCACCCCCGTAGGAGACCCAGGCTCCTGGCTTGACCTGACCCGGGCTGGCCATGGCAGCTATTTGTGGGGTACACCAGTGGAAGGAACAGCTCTTTCTTGCTCTGTTGGTCTCTCTCCTTTTCTGGAGCTCTGCCTATCCAATAAATCAGAAAGTCTCATAGATCTTTAAAAAAACAAACAAACAAGGCCCCTGTTCTGTCAGGCTTCAAGGAGAGGCGACAGGAAGATGTAGGGAACATGGAGCGCTTAGTCTGCAGAAGAAGGGGGCTCTGCAGAAGCATATCCCTGAATTAAATCTGCGGCTGGCCCCTTGTAGGGTGGTAGATGAGTCTGTGTTTCGAACCAGGACCTCTGGACTTTCGGGAGCTTGGAGGCCTGGCAGATGGAGAACATCAGAGCCTCAGGTGAACAGAGGCTTTGGCGCAGTCCCTGGCAGGTGTAACGGTGGGACCATAAGGAAGATGCAGGGGACCTAGACCTGCAAGACGGAGGGACTATAGACCCACCACTTCTGTAAGGCAAGCTGGTCCCCTAGATGGTGCCCCTCCTGATTTTAATGTGCAGGTCAGAAGGTAGCAGCTTGCTAGTAGAAGCAAGGCCTTAGGTGAGCAGACTACAGGACTCAGGGCCTGCAGGGAGTCAAGGTGAGCACTGAGAGAGCCAGCAAGCCGGGATCAAAAATATCCAACCCAGCACCGCTGTGAGGTTTTTGAAGTGCCATGAATTCCTTCTGGAGAATGGGAGTGGTCCACAAGGTTTGATCCCTGGACACCACCAGGAGTCAAGAGGAGGAAGCAGTAGGAAGTCAGAGGGATGGTAGACCACAGACAGAAAGGGAACTTTGGCCCCCGGTTTTGGCCGTGGTAAGCCCCGGCCTTGGTGGCCATATCCTACGCACCTCTCCTCCAGCTTCCCGGGCATCAGGTGGGAATAGGTCTGAGGGGAGGCATTAGTCAGCACAGAGAGCCACAGCTCGCCAGCCGAGGGAGGAGTGCACTACTCTCAGGAGTCTAATTGAAGAATGTAGGGAAAGCATGAAAGTACATGCAAACTCCTTAGAAGCAGAGAACTCACAGAGCCTGTCTTCCTTAATGCTCCATCTGGGAAGTCACTAGGCGGGGTGAGTGTACTTGGGATGCTGTCCCTTCTGCCATGTGCTGGGGGATAGGAGGTTTCAGTGTGGGGGGGTCTAGGTCTGCGTCAGCAGAGGGAGCCACATACGGTGGTAAGCAGAGGGTGAAGTCCCAGTGACGACCAGGCCTCGGGGTATAGCCCATTTACGGGACCTGAAGGTACCGCAGCCCAGAGAGAAGGGCCCCCACAGAGTCTGGATATCTTGGTTCCTGGCTCTGAAGGGAGCAGGTCGGAAGGATAGCTCCCGGTGTGTTCACTCATACAGGTAGAGGCACTTGGGGCCAGGTCAGGGCGTTGATCTGTAGGGAGACTGTGGTATATATTCATGATGAAATACTACTAGCCAGAAAAAAGAATGAAATCCTATCTTTTGAAACACATCGGCTGCAATTGAAACCGTTGTTCTCTTTTTGTAAGATTTATTTATTTATTTGAAGGTAGAGTTACAGAAAGGCAGAGAGAGAGAGAGAGAGGGAGGGAGGGAGGGAGGGAGGGAGGGAGGGAGGGAGGGAGAGAGAAAGGTCTTTCCTCTGTCGGTTCATTCCCCAGATGGCCACAATGGTCGGAGCTGTGCCTATCCAAAGCCAGGAGCTTCTTTCGGGTCTCCTATGCAGGTACAGGGGCCCAAAGACTTGGGCCATCTTCTACTGCTTTCCCAGGCCATAGCAGAGCTGGATCGGAAGTGGAGCAGCTGGGACTTGAACCGGCGCCCATATGGGCAGCTGGCACTGCAGGCAGCGCCTTTACCCGCTACGCCACAGTGCCAGCCCCGAAACCATTATTCTCAGTGAGATAAGCTTGTCCCAAAGACACAAATAACAAATATTGTCCCTGTTTTCTGGCAACTAAAGTCGGAGTACAAAACATGAAACGTTTGTTGGATGAACTGACATGTCCAGGTTTGAATATTGTTTATAGTCCTTGTCTATACTCCTGAGGGACAGTGGTTTTTCTGCTTTCTGCTTGTTAAATTCTGTATTTAGTGGAGGCTTAAGCTTGTGATTATAAAGCAAAGTGCAAGTATACCATTGCAAAAATTAAAAGAAGAATAAGAAAGGAAGGAGGAGGGAGGGTGGGGGCAAGGGAGGGTGTGAGGGACAGAGGGTAAGGAGAAAATGTCATTATGTTCTTAATACTGTATTTATGAAATACTTGGAACGGGCTCTCTTAATATAAATTAAAAATTGGAAATAAATAAATAGTGAGGGTGTAAATGAGCACAAAGGGGACCTGGCCTGGAAGAGGGGCAACTGGGACAGAATCCAGCGCCCCAACCGGGTCTAGAACCCGGTGTGCCGGCGCCGCAAGGTGGAGGATTAGCCTATTGAGCCACGGCGCCGGCTTAGCAGCTTGACTTTAAGCAGGGCCGTCAGGTCACAGAACACACAAGGCCCAGGCAGTGCCAAGAATCAAGGTAAGGCACAGTCTCTGAATGTGAACTAAGGGCCCCATCCATCCCAAGGTGGGAGGGACCCCACGGGTGGCTGCTGGCGCTGCCAACACTGCTGTCATCGCTGGAGCCTTGCACAGTGCTGGCCAGATGGCTGCACCCTGGGAAGCCTTAGCTGGCAATTCCCCTGGCTCCTTCCTTGCACTTCTCAGGGGACAGTCGCAACAGCAGGAGAGGTGCCCTGTGAGGCCCTCTTTCAGCTCCCCGAGAGAAGGCCTGTACGTGGGCCTGTGACACAGTCCCCAGTGCTGGGATTCTCAGCTGGAGTCACTCACGCGCTCTCTCTCCCCCAGGCCTGAGGGTTCCCGGTCACCAGCTACTGGCTACCCTCCTGCCAGCTGTCCCGTGGAAAGTCATGATGCCTCACGGTCAGGAGAGCCAGCGCTGCAAAAGTGAGGGAGGCCTTCAGGCTCCAGGAGAAGCTGCTTGGTTGTCCAAGGTTGGGGAAGAGGAGGCCACTGCTGCTGGCTCCTGCCCCTCCTCTGATCTGATACCAGGTACCCCCCAGGGGGAGCCTGGGGCTGCGGTCCCGCGTCCTCCCAAGAGTCCTCAGCCAGCCTCCTCAACCACCAGCAGTTCATCTTCGGGATGCAGCCAATCCGATGACAGCCCCAGCAGCCAGGAGGAAGAGGGCCCAGCCCCCTGGCAGTGCCTGGAAGATGCAGAGTTCTTGCTCCAAGATGCGCTGGATGAGAAGATGGCCAAGTTGGTGAAGCTCCTGCTTCTCAAGTATCTCAGGAAAGAGCTGATCTCCGTGGAGGAAATGCTGAGTTGTGTCACCATATATTACGAAGACTACTTCCCTGGGATCTTCTGCAAAGCCTTTGAGTGCATCCATCTGATCTTTGGCATTGAGATGAAGCAAGCAGACCTCACTGGCCATTTGTATGGGCTCGTCCCTGCACTAGGCCTCACCTGCCATGATGTGCTGGGGGGCGACCAGACCATGCCCAAGACTGGGCTCTTGATATCCATCCTGGGCTTGGTGTTCATCGGGGGCAGGTGTGTCCCCGAGCTACAGATATGGGAAGCTCTGAGTGTGATGGGGCTGTATGCTGGGAGTGAGCACTGCATCTTTGGGGAGCCCAGGAAGCTCATCACCGAAGAATGGGTGCAGGCAGGGTACCTGGAGTACCGGCAGGTGCCCCAGAGCGATCCCGCTCGCTTCGAGTTTCTGTGGGGTCCAAGGGCCCACGCTGAAACCAGCGAGATGAGAGTCCTGCAGTATTTGGCCAGGTTCAATAGGAATGACCCCAGATTCCACCCATCCGTGAATCAAGGGGCTGTGGGAGATGAGAAAGAGAGTGTCCAGGCCGCAGATGCAGGCGGGGCCGTAGAGAGTGAGAGTCGCAGGGTAGAGCCAGAGCCAGGGCCAGGGCCAGGGCCAGTGTCTCGCGCTGCCCCCTGTGAAAGTGGGCCTGTTCGTTACTCTCACTGCGAAGACAGCAATGAGAGTTCTGACTAGCAGAATGCCAGAGTGCCCTTTTCAAGCATGGGCTATCATGGCTTTGTCCTACTTCTGTGCGGGTTACTTGGAAAGTACTCTCACCCCCACCCCCCCCACCGTTTCATATATCAAGATGTTATTTCTAGAGGCCGACGCTGTGGCGTAGCGGGTAAAGCTGCCACCTGCAGTGTCGGCATCCCATATGGGTGCCGGTTTGAGTCCCAGCTGCTCTACTTGCAACCCCAGTCTCTGCTATGGCCTGGGAAAGCAGTAGAAGATGGCCCGAGTCCTTGGGCCTTTGCACCCACCTGGGAGACCTAGAAGAATCTCCAGGCTCCTGGCTTCGGATCTGCCCAACTCCAGCTGTTGCAGCCATTTGGAGAGTGAACCTGTGTATGGAAGTTTCTCTCTCTCTCTCCTCTCTCTCTCTCTCTCTCTTCCTACCTCCTTCCCTCCCTCTCAACTCTCTTTTCCACTGCCTCTCTGTAACTTTGCCTTTCAAATAAAGAAATAAATTAGTCTTTGAAATATGTTATTTCTATTAATATGTTATTTCTATTATTTCTATTAACCAGACATTAAGAGCTTCTGCATTGATGTAAATGCAGGTCCATATTCACACACTGATTGCTCAACACAGAGATTAGGAATAAGAGTTTTCCTTGTTGCACATCTCTCTTTGTGCTTGGTAGCTAAGCTATCCTAGCAGTGGGACAGGTATTTCCTTGATATGTGAATGAATTTAGCAGTACAATACGTGAATACCAGAGAAATGTTGTATTCATTCTTTCCTCCAAGTATCACATTCTGGTTGTCCTGTAAAGTTACCCCCCTCCCCTCCCCACCACACACACATACAGAGAGAAAGGGAGAGGGAGAGAGAGGGAGAGGGAGAGAGGGGGGCTTCTTCTAGGCTTACTTAAAAATGTAAAATAATAAGGCAATAAGTTCCTGTAATCACTGGCTCATTTGTTCCTTCCACATCCACTGAGCATCTGCTCAGTGGAGGCCCTGTGCTAGGAGTGGAGATGCTGGGGCAGGCCACAGCCCCCTTACCAGAGAAGCGTAGAATCCAGGAGCTGCCATCATAGGCAGAAGGTGGAGAAATGTCCTGTGAGACAGAACCAGCCAAAGGTGGAGAAATGTCCTGTGAGACAGAACCAGCCAAGAGTGGTGAGCAGCTGAGTTTCTGGGAAGGACAGACGATTGTAAATTCCACGAGTTGTGGTCTTAGGGAAACTGCATTTCCTTGTGTGGGAGTTCCCTGTGAGGAGACTGGGTCACAGCAGGGACCAGTTCCTCAAGGAGTAGGTCGTAGGTAGGTCTCACAGAAAAGCCAGGAATTGAGAACTGGGTGTCACATAAAGCAGAGAGGATTCTGTGCCTGAGACAACAGGGGAAGGTGGCCTAGGCTGTTGTCCCAGTGAGGTTAACAGTGCCAAGACGCAAGTGATTGAGGGCCCTCAAGTACAAGGCTTCCTGGGGACAGAAGAGTGACTCTCCCAGGAAACAAGTACCAAACGCCCTTGCAGGTACCTCTGGGGTTGTCATTAGGTTACTCTGTGTGTGTGTGTGTGTGTGTGTGTGATTGGAACAGTTCTAAACAAAGGTTAAGTTTTGGATGAATAGGAATTGAATGCAAATAGTGCTTTGGCTGGAAAGTGAGCTAGGAAGGAAGAAATGACGATTTCCCTGGCTTCCATTCTGGCAGCTTCGAACTTCACGCTCATGAAGATGGTGCAAGATGTCCTCTACATGGGAATGTTGACCCAATTTTATTCACGGTGCTTCCTTATTTGGTTAATTATTGCCTGTACTGTGGTGCTATGATACCAAAGAGCACAATACAGCAGCAACAGCATCCCAGAGTGATAAGGTCTGGGGTCCAGTGCTGTTAAAATGACAGCCACTCGCATGCCATACATGAGACAACATCAGGAACTGCCCCAGATGCCTTAGGTATTGAGCCCGCACGGTGGAGCAGATAAGCAATGCTGCACACATGAGCAACCCAGGAGTTGGGAACTTTTCAGGAGCTGGTGACAGGGTTGGGAGGAGAACAGGGTCAGCATTCATATGGGGGGGCTGCGCTGTTTCCCCTCCTCCCAGCCTGGGGCCAACCTCTGATTCCAATTCCTCTCCCCACTAAGCATTGCATAGTTTCTCTGCAAACAGAAACTAAGAAGCTGATGCACATCAGTGTACTAAAACCTGGCAAAACGAATGCAACAGAGTCCGCAAACTCAGAATTGCCTGCGGTTGGATCCTTGACCTCTGTGATGGGGCTGGGGCCCCAAAGGAGACTGGGACCAGGACACAACAGGGTGATTACTTGTGATTTCCGGTAGGGAGCTGAGTGAGACACATGCCTAGCCCCAGAGGAACCCTTTGGTCCATGCCCCAGAGCAGCCCTGCAGTCTCCTCCAAAGGTCCCTAACCAAGCTGAAAAGACAGAACTGAGGTTTTGAATCTAGCCCTGAATCCCCAGAGAGCACCCCAAGGATAATGCACAAAAGAGGCTGGTGGTTAGGGCCTCGAGACCACTGGGGAACACAGCTTGGGGAGGGGCACAGACTTTCCTTCACCATCACTGCAGGTGCATGTGTCTTAGATCTCGTTCCCAGGTCCAGAACCCACAGGCCCAGATCCTGATCCCTGCCCCTGGTGCATTAGCCCTGAGTGTGACCTTGCTGCACTAGAACAACTTATACCAGGTCTGCACAGTCCTAAGGACTGTTGGCCATGTATTTAGCAAAACAAAACAAAAACAAGAGTCCTCTACTGGAATTTTCTTCCAGGTAGTATTTCTTTTCCTTTTCGTTTTTGTGCTCTGAGCTTGTGTGGGAAGCTGCCTAAAATGAAATGCATGTGTATGTGGACTGAACCAGCAGGGACAGATTTTTACTCCGTGCCTGTCTCTTCATCAGTTTCTCTGTCACTGAAATGAAGGAAACATAGAAAAGCATTAAACACCATTTTCTTCCAAGCATATAAAAAGTATACTCTAGAAATACAATGTATCATAAGTGAGATTAGGTTTGATCATCTATGTGCAGAAGAAATGTATACACTATATTATTGTACTGTAAAAGCACCAGAATTTAGAAGCTATGGTTGGTCGGCTGTCTCAGGAAGCAACTGATTGAGGCTGGTGTTACAGTGTGTGAAAGAATTCAGCAGTGCATGGCTGGTGCTGTTGCGTATTGGGTAAAGCCACCACCTGCAGTGACCGCATCCCTTATGGGTGCCAGTTCAAGTCCCAGCTGCTCGACTTCTTATCCAGCTCTCTGCTATGGCCTGGGAAAGCAGTAGAAGGTGGCTCAAGTGTTTGGGCCCCTGCACTTGCGTGGGAGATCCAGAGGAAGCTCCTGGCTTGGGATCGGCACAGCTCTGGCCGTTGCGGCCATTGGGGAATGAACCATTGGATGGAAGATCTCTCTCTCTCTCTCTCTCTCTCTCTGTCCTCTCTCTCTCTGTTTCTCTCCCTCCCTCCCCCCTCCCTCCCTCCCTCTGTAACTGTGCCTTTCAGATAAACAATAAATATGTTAAAAATAGAATTCAGCATACAGCCAGAGTGAACAGAAGTAGATTTGCTGCAAGGGAGCAGCATGGCAGGCAGGACACCTAGAAGTTGACTATAGCTACCATGTGCTGCAAAGGAGCAGCATAAAAGAGACACAGAGGCTGTCTGTTGCAACATTGACTCCAGTCTGAGGTGTATACTTGTAGCTGCAGTCCTTTCATAGTGAGGGTGTTTTTACTACCCATGATTCAACATATTTTCCCAGGTAGGTGCTATTGATCTTCTGAGCAGGGCTGTGCAGCCTGCACCATCCATGGCTTTGGGATCGTCCCAGGACCCAAACTGCAACCCTCCACATCCCTCACCCACTGACAGAATGATAATGCCAAATTTTTTTGGCATTTGGGGCAAAGGTTTTCTCTCCTTTGAAAAGTTCATTATGGACAGATAGATCACACGGGTTTGGTCTGCTGGGGTTTTATTTTTGTTTTGTTTTGTTATAAAGATCTTATTTCTTTATTTGAGAGGTAGATTTACAGAGAGTGAAAGGGAGAGGAGACAGAGAGAAAGGTCTTCCACCTGCTGGTTCACTCCCCAAATGGCAGCAACGGCCAGAGCCAGGAGCCAGGAGCTTCCCAGGAGCTTCTTCTGGGTCTTCCAGGCAGGTGCAGGGGCCCAAGGACTTGAGCCATTCTCTGCTTTCCCGGGCCATAGCAGAGAGCTGGATTGGAAGAGGAGCAGCTGGGACTAGAACGGGCACCCGTATGGGATGCCAGTGCCACAGGCAGAGAATTAACCTATTGCTCCACAGCGCCAGCCCCTCTGCCAGGGTTTTAGCATATCCTGTTGTAGAGATTTAGTGGATGGTGCAGTCTCAGGGAAGGGGGAGTGATTCTTGACAGAAATGTCTGGCTGCATTATCCAGAAAAATGTAGGTAGCCTCATCTGGAGGAATTTCATGTGGATGTCACATTCCCATTTGGAAATGGATTTGCTGCAACCTGGAGGAGATAAACTGAATCATCTAGTCCAGAACCATAGGCCCAAGAGTTAGGGCGAGCAGGAGACATGTTGGAGGAATCACTAGGGGCAGGAGAGAGGATAGAAGCCAAGCTCTATAGCCAGGGAGTTCAGCCCACATCTAGGGTCTCTAATTTCCTTCTAGTCTTGACCAACCCAATTCCACAAAAACTTCTACAGTGCACTTATAATCCCTGTGTTATGTGACCTATCTTTTCCTTTCTAGTCTAGCAGTCCATGCAAGGTAATTGGTCTTGTGCTAATTTTTACTTTCCCTTTTGCAGCTAGAAAGAGATAGCTGTCTTTGAGAGACTGTTTCCTGACTTGCCAGATTGGTTTAGGGTGAGTAAAATCAAAAGCAGAACATAGAACTTTAGAGTTTTCCTTTGACAACAGCACTACACAGAGTAATAAACACACTTGTCTGACATCTCAGTCTCTTCAGGAACACTACGCATCATTGTGAAAAAGGTATCAGATAGGAGCCGGTACTGTGGTACAGTGATTTAAGCAACTTCCTGGGATGCTGGCACCCCAGATGAATGCTGGCTCTAGTACTGGCAGCTCCAGTTCCAATCCAGCTCCCTGCTCATGCATCTTGGAAAGCAACGGAGGATGGCCCAAGTGCCTGAAGCCCTGCACCCACGTGAGAGACCCAGATGAATCCCCTGGCCCCTGGCTTCAGCCTGGCACAGCCATGGACATCTCAGGCATTTGGCGGATTAACCCCATGGAAGCCAAACTCTCCTGCGTTGTTTTCTGCCACCTCAGCCTCCGATCCCAGTTTATCCTCAATCTCAGCCCCTTCTTCCTTGCCGACATCTCCACGATCCACTCCCCTTCATCATCCTCTCAAACTCTGCCCTAACACAGGTTCACAGCAAGTTTTGCCTGGATTGTGGCAGGAGATGGCTAGCAAGGCACAG